CAAATTACAGCGAAAGCAGATATGAGCCAGGATGTGTATCCAGGCTCTCTGCCAGCTATTTTGCAAAGAAATCACCAGGCCACAAGATCCCTTCTCTCAAAAGACATAGTGACAAACTGTGAGCTAGCAAATAGCTTTGCTTTTTCCAGCTCACCTGGTTACATGAGGAGGATCAGCAGCAGTCACCAGCTGACCCATGCAGTCACAGGGGCTTGAAGGTTTCCATCTCCTACGGGGACTTGCAAGGTGCCCTTAGGTCCTCAGGGAGATCATCAGGTATTACTTCCAAGCAACTATTTGAGGTTAGACACAAAAATGGATGTGTCCCGATTTTCAGATGCCAAGTGCTCATAGGTTCAATCAGGGGTTTTGGCCACTGTGCTACCTAAGGAGTTGTGCTACCTATGAAGTTCTGGGCATGATCTGACCAGGAATGGAAATGTTCACCACCTTTGAATTTCACATTTGAAATTGCTTTTGTGTAGGTCTACGAATATTAGCAATTTGGGAATTGTTTGCATGTGTGTGTGTGTGTATTTTAGCTTTGGAAGCGGAGACCAGGCATAGGAGCATTAGTATTCCCTGAGAGCACAGGGCCTGAAGGAGCGATGACAAGAGTCACTGAAAGTCTGTGGCCTTACTTGGGAGTGGGGTGGCCTGTACTTTAGCCAGGAAGCTCTTGCATATTTTCCTTCTTCAGAAATAGCCTGAATCATCTCACACCTACATAAGCTGCTTTCCAGGAGGTGACCTGCTTTCCTGAATACAACCATTTAATCAAACTGGGCTTTATTTCTGTTTTAGTTCTTTATGTAAAGTTACTCCTAGTTCATGAATACTTTCAGCAGCTGTTCATGGCCTTTTATCATTGTCCTGTTTAAATTCCTTGGGGCTTTTTCCCACTTAATGGCTGAGGAATTTGCACTCTGCTAGGGCAAAGTGAGTGTTCCTAATTTCACCACCCCAGTTTTAGAAAAGGGGCTCTTTAGCAGGAAGCTGCTTATCTTTCACTAGATCACACATGACTCTGCAAACTAATATTTACTAAGTCAGACTCAATCCATGCAGCATTCCCGGTACCCAGCTGCCTGATACTGGGCAGGCAGGGTCAGCTCCACGGAGTGGCTGATGGGATGTGACCCTTAATACCCAGTAGTGAAGTGCCTGCTAAGTGACATGGGGAGTCACTTGCCCAACTTCCCCTGCATGAATCTGCTTCCCTCCACTCTCCCCCTACACCTGCAGACTGACATCAGATGTCAAGATGACCTGCAAGGTAACAACTCTGTAGCTTGTCAGTTAAGACATCACCCTCAAATCTCTCCTTAGCTGCAATAACAGTGTTAAGGGGCAAAGGGAAGGTAGTGCTGCCTCCACCAGCCTAATCACAGCCAGGTCTGCTGTTACTTGTGCAGAGGACATTAGTGGAGACTAATGACAAGAGTGGAGACTCTTGTGCCTTGAGGTCCCTCGGGGAGGGCAGGAGGACATCCTGCCCAGCTCTAGGCAGGAATCTGAGGAGTCCTGCTGCAATGGCAAGGGCTTAAGGCAGACATACAGTGCAGAGCCCTGGCTTACTGAGAAAACTTAAAACACCTGTGGATTCCAGTGGTGGGGTTCCTCTCTCTCCTCACTCTCTAGTGAAGCCATGGGCTCCTTTACAGTTAGTGGTGTAAGGGAAAACCTTTTGCACACAATTCACCTGACAATATGCCTGCTGCCTTTTGGATGAGGTGACTCCAATCCTGGAATCCAGCAGCTGAAACAAACAGTTAGTTCTGCTGACTATAGATCGAAGCAAAGGTAATTGATTTCCCAGACTTTCCCTTAGCTGCTTTGTGGACCCATGAGATGGATTCAGGTGCAAGATTCTCTGCAAGTCTGACGGCTGAAAACGGATAAAGGAAGAGTGTTGAGGGCACTGCAGTGGGCACAGTGACAAAGCCATTTCTAGCCACTCCCATTCCCTCCCTTTGCTTGCCCCTTCCTTTCCATCTCTTCTTGAGATGGAGGCAGAAGTAAAAGTTGAGGAACTACTGGGGCTTCAGTATTTTAAGTACTACAAAAAGTAAGGAAGGGGGACTTTGAATGATGTAACTTTCTTGGCCCTCAAATTGTCTGTGCGTACCCAGCACCAGAATCAGGAAAAACAGCCTAGAGGCATCCCACCAACCAGTGCAGGCCCCTTGATGTCAGTGCAGTGCTGTGCCCAAGCTAACAAACCCAAGGCTTATTAGCTCAGGTGCAATGCCAGGCAAATGTGTGTCAGTACTGCCGTAAGACCCACTGCTACGCTTGTGTGACCAGGCTGCACCTTGTGTTGTTACCAACTCCCTGCACATGGGCAGCCCTGGGCTGCTGCCTGACTTGGGGTGTGCAGGACTCATAACCACTACCTGCTTCAGGCCAAATGTGCTGGACTCACCTCCCTCCCATTAAAAAGTCATACAAGTGAGAGGGAGGAAAGTCCAAGCTTGTTTTGGTCACTCCTTTGGATCTATGCTTTGGAAGTGAGCAAGGACCACAACCATCTGTCACAAGCATGTCACCCTCACTCCACCATGGTCCCATGCATTGGAAAAATGTCCTTTCCTTCCTACTTGATGTTAGAGTAGTAGATGCCTGACTCCTCCTAGGTATCCAAATGTGTCTTACAGGTTGAAATTTTGTGGTTCCAAAATGCTTTCAAGAGACATGATGTATGTAGGTAACTAACACATGCCTTCACTGTGCAGTGGGGCAAGAAATCTGCTGTTGGTTAGTCCATTTAGCCCATTCTAACAGTGTTCCCATTGTAAGGTAAAAACCACTTGAGCATTCATCACATAAAGTGCTTAAAAATAATAGGGTTTGTTTGGGACCGTGGTGCTATAAGGATGGGAGAGGTGGTCTCTCTGCAAACTGCTGCACTGTGATCTGGCTGAATATTTCAGCAGCTGAATAAAAGCCCCCCTCCAACTCTTCTGCATCCAAGCAACCAAATAAGGGTATATGTATTCAGCACAAGCACAGCTCTAAACCCAAGCCCCAAACATGAGCAGGTGCTTCTCCCTCTCTTTTCATCATCTGAGCATAGCTGATGTCTCCTGCCAATTTCAAAGGCAAGTGAAGACAATGGTGATGGGGGTAAAGCAGCTGGGGGGTGGCAGAAGGGGGCATGGAGGGGGCTCTGCTTGGCAAGGTGAGTAGTGCATGCTGGGGTGGTGGGCAGCCCTGCCAGCTCTCTTTGTGCGGCTCTGTGAGAAAAGGGAAGGAAGAGGCGACAAGTGAGCAAGTTCGAAGTGAAGCCACTGAGGCCAGCGAGTCATGGCTGATCTGTGCCAGCTGCAAGCTGCTGCTTCTCTGGTTAGTGTGCCAACTATTTTGCTGGAGTGGGGAAAGAACCGCTAGAAGTGTGTGGGCTTGTGGTTGGTGGAGCTGGAGGAGGAGAGATGCGCATCTTCCTTACTGACACACAGCCATCACAAATCCCCTAGCACCTGGCATTTGGGATGTGCCTCTGTGCACAGCCACAGCCTGGTTGGCCCAAACAGTTGTGTCCTAAGGGAGAAGGAAAGAGCAGCTATGCTCTCCACAATTACTCCAGAGCAAGGAATGCCACAGAACCCTGGGTGTGCCAGGAAGTCATTCCCGGAGCTGCCACATGAAACAGGAGCTCAGCACCAGCTTGCTTAGACCAGCTACCAGATAATGAACTGCCAGGGAAATTGCTCGTCCCCAAAAACTGCCCCCGCTGAAGCGCTGGCGACAGCTTGGATTCAGTCCTCTTCCCTCTCCTTTGTGCTATGTGCCATGGTCCCCAAAGGGCCACTACAGTTCTTACGGCCAAAATACAATTTTGTCTTTTTCATGTGCTTCGGGATGGAGGAATGTGGTTCATGCCAACCACAGCTCTCCTCCCCCGCCTGGGAGACGCCTGCATGGCGAGAAGTTTGGGTCAGGGTAGGTCTGACACCCCGGTAGGATTTCAGAGGGGCAAATGCGGCTGCTAAAGGTTCTGGGGAGGGGCTCCTGCAGCCCTTTCGTAGCGCAGTGCCAGGGTCACACGGCGGCCAAGGTTGGGCTGTGGCACTGCTCTGCCACCCCTGAGGCCGAGCCGGGCACGGAAGCCATCGCACGCAGCCGTGACCTGCTACGGGAGAAGGGCCCCTTGGGAAGGCAGTGGCAGCCGGCGGTCGCTGTTTGTGCCGCTGCCGCGAGTCCCTGCGCAGGGCAGAGCTGTGACCGGGGCCGGTCCCAGCAAGCTCGCCCGGGGCCGTGTGGCGATGGCCGGGGCTGCCGGGGCCGGTCCCAGCAAGCTCGCCCGGGGCCGTGTGGCGATGGCCGGGGCTGCCGGGGCCGGTCCCAGCAAGCTCGCCCGGGGCCGTGTGGCGATGGCCGGGC